TACGGACTCTGACGAAGTACGAAGAAGTTGACTTCGGACTCCGACGAAGTACGAAGAAGTTGACTTCGGACTCCGACGAAGTACGAAGAAGTTGACTTCGGACTCCGACGAAGTACGAAGAAGTTGACTTCGGACTCCGACGAAGTACGAAGAAGTTGACTTCGGACTCCGACGAAGTACGAAGCAGTTGACTTCGGACTCCGACGAAGTACGAAGCAGTTGACTTCGGACTCCGACGAAGTACGAAGCAGTTGACTTCGGACTCGGATGATGTACGAAGGTGACGACGCGAGCTGTGTGTCACCATCTTTTTTTCATCGTCTCTTTGGCGCTGTCAACTGTTCCAACGGACTACCACCAACTAGTCCAGATTTGCCTTTCTGAAAAGGCGTTCTCTTGATAAACGATGCTATTTCAACTAGTTTACGACGTCCCAGTCCAATAACGCGTCGTCCGGTCATGCGTAATTTGCTCGAGGGTTTATACGCACTAATAGAATATAATAGACTAGCGTTCACTGCGCAAAACACTGGACGGTGGGCGGGAGTCAAGACGGCACAGAACGTGCAAATAGATCATGTGCAACGATGTTCGCGCAGGTTGCCTGTGGATTTGTCTCGTCTTGCATGAATGCTGTGGAGGGGTGTTCTACACTTGCTGCTTCACATGGTACATTACCAATCGACTGTGTACGACGCCTATCCAGTTTCAATGCCTCGCTTTTTGTCTGCTTCATCGCTCCACTATTTGCGTCACGTAGTCGCTCAACCTGACACTGTCTCCGCGAGGGTCTTCCTGTACGTGTCTCAGCTGTCGTCGCCCCCAAATGAGCCACGTGCTAGTCTGTCTGCGTGCCTGCCTGGTGCAAGCGGTCGCAGCTTGTCGTGTATATATTTAGTACGCTGTCAGGTGCTGCGGAGAGGAGTGTAGAATTTCCCTCTGCGACCGGCAGTCTCCTTCTCGGCGCTCTTCGTTCGCCACTGCATGCATTGCCGGCGCACTTTTTCGTTGCCACCGGAGGCCTGTTATCGAATGAACGGACGCCTCCTCCTTCGACGCCTCCTTCTTCCTGCTGCGTGGCCGTCGCGCCGAATGCCGATGAGTGCATGGCGACGCGGGGGTCGCGCTTGTCAGTACGTGATCAGATAACGCGCACCATTTTCGCTGCGGTTCCAGCTACTGCCGAAACTGTCCCGAGTCGGTGCCCACGGAAAAAGCGACGCCCCCATCTTATCTTCGGGTGACGGACATGCAGATTATACCGCGGGTTGTTTGTGCCGCGGATGCTGACGCCTTCGTGATTAGCCGATTTCACTCCCCTGTTATCCGTGTGTTATGTTCCTAAGCGCCTTCGGATTAGACTTTGCCGCCTTGCCGCTGGAGGCAGCGTGTCAATTTCAGCCTGGGTGTTTAACTTCACACGAGCGAGGCTTTTTTTAACGTGACACTGTTTGTACGCTGGGCTTCGGAGAGAATGTAACGGCGTTATTTTCGTGACGGAAGTGACGTCAGTAAATCTTGCTACGTCTGAAACAGTGGTCCCGCATATACTGTAGGTTGCGCATATTAACTGTTTTTTTTTTATGGTTGCGGCTCCTCGTGGCAGTTCAGGCGCGTGCTATGCGAGGCGGAGCGAATGCCATTTCTAACCTTCTCTTACCTTTTGTAGCGTTAGTTACACTGGCCTCGCTGAGCCAGTTTCGCGTGGCACTGGTCTGCGCATGCGCAATGATACTCCGCCGCCGCCGCGCGCGGCTCGCCGCCGGTGTGCGCTCAATTCGATGCGCTGCGCAGACGATCAGCGGTGTCATGCACCGGAGCCGGCACCTCCCTCGCACTCGGCCGCGGCTGCGCGCGACTCGCCGCCGCCGGTGTGCGCTTTCCAGAGGAGTGTCGTCATAGCCTTGGTAGACATACGGACGCCGACGCGCGCGCCTTCCCTGTGCAGCCGCCATTTGACACTGCGCTGGAGCCGCTTGATAGCGCCTATGATTGGCGTTTGCCGTTGTGGTATAGCGATGGAGAAGGAGAGTGCAAATGCTGCTCAACGGTGCTGTAGAGCGGAGAAGCTTAACTCAGCGGATCTCGAAGTAGTTGCCCGGCAAAATAAATATACATGTGCCACATAATACGTATACCGTGTGTGTGTCATTGGAACAGCTGTAAGCATGATATCTGGAAAGCTAAGAATAATCAGCTGAACCTTTGCTAACGCTACGTATATCCTGGCATAGCTGAGCTAAGCCACTGCCATTTTTTCTTCTGTCTCTTTAATTCCCATTCCCCCATTCCTGCGCGGAGGTGCCCTCCATTGAGAGAGGCAGTAACGGAACTGCGCTTGTTTCTTCCTTTTCTCCGTTCAAAGTCAGTTCGCATAATAACTGTTTAGAACACAGTCTACAAATACATGGGTCGTACCCTGCTTGGGTAGTTTTGGCTCTTCGCAGTGTACGTTAATAAACAGCAACGCTGCTGGAGAAATGACAGTGACGTGTCGCAGCGGGCTGCGTATCGTACGTATTTTCCAGAATATCGTGGTAAGGCGTATTGGAGGAAACTACGCGACGAGGAACTGTTTATGAGCGCGCCATTAAGAACAGCAGTTGTGCCTGTGTTGTTTCTTTACAGACAATTATCGTTCCTGTGTGGCGATGGAAAACTTGCATAAATTTTGTGTTTTGCGCCGAGGCGCAAAGCGGTTTAGCTAAATTTACGTTCCACTGAAGTTCTTTTTCTTCGACTTAGTGCAGACTCCTATACTAAGCTCCGTTTATAAACACCACCAGGCGGTTTTCGTAGGCATATACTCGTATAAATGCGCAATCATTTCGCCTTTCATTGGATCCCGTGAAAAGACGCGATTGGAACCATAACTTGGTAAGCTTTCCCCGCTGCGACGATTAGCGACTTATAATGGAACGAGCCGTGGAACTACACATTTTTATCTCCTCGTTTAGTACGAGGGCAGAACATTTCAGCAGTAAAATACGATTTTCAAGGCTGACCAAATGACCTTCAATACCTAACCACACGTACGCGCTACAGTGCGTCAGCACGCGCTCTGTTCTCTCCCTGTGCGGCGCGTCCTCTCTCCTCTGTCTCTCTCTCTCTGTCTCTCTCTCTCTCTCTCTCCATTGGAATGTGACGCAACGCAGTCTGCATGCCACGCAATGTGAGGGTGTGCTTGCACTGTAGACCAGTACCGATGATACTGTGCCTGGTCTAGCAGTAATGATTACGTTAGTCTACATACAAACGCTAATCACCCACAGCTTTGTAAATGGTATGTTTTACTGGAAGCGCATTAGAAACTATAATAGCCGCATGTACGTAAACGCAAGACGACGACGCGCAAATGCGGCAAGTTCCTGTTATGTTTCGGCTTGCGCACTGTAAAGCGAACTTCGGAGTCGACAGCGGCGATTCTAGACAGGTCTGCTGGATTTTTACGCATCAGTTTTCACGGAATTGGCAGAAACGGCTCTAAATTCAGAAGCACACAGACATTAGTAGCACTCTAAAATTTGAGGTTCATTTACGGGAAGCTCACTCTTTTAGTAAGCTGCATCTAGTACACGTTCAGAACAAATTCAGCTGGTATGTCGGAGTACTTTGCCACAAAAATTAAAAACGGGAGGGGGGGGGGGGGGGTAAGTAACACACCATTGAGATCAATGCAATCGATCTTAAGATCAATTGTATGTTGGCTTGTGCTTCGAAAAATTTCTTTCGCCTTCGACTTGGATAAGAAACCGTGTGAAAATTTTTGCGACTTTATGTGCCAATGGAAAGTTGCGTTGATTAAAAAGTTTTTACAATGGCGCACTTGGACGCCCAATTAGCCACGTTGGTCAAACTTGCATGTCCTGCGTATGTCGAGAGTTTATGATGCTATGCAATTCGAGTCAATTCGCAGTTTTTTTTTTCATTTCGATCGCCATCTTGCAACATTTGACTGCTGTGAACGAGCGAGCTGCTGTGCGGTGTAATATACTATATGCTTGAAGGTATATTGTGAACAAGGTACACACTACGTGATTATGCGTCTTGTATAGTGTGTCGATAGACCGAGTGGTTTCTTTGGATGTGACTAGCTTTGCGAATACGCATGGTTTGCGAATACTATATATGTGGTGTCTTAGGCAGAACGTAGTGCCTTCAAACCGGCACTGCGTCTAGATTGACACCAAAATTATAACGACTGTGTTGTACTTACTGTTGCAACCAAGCCTGTTGCTTGTGCACCGCGTCAATACGGTCAAACATTGCAAAACCCAAGGAGAAACACAGTTCACGCGCAAAAGTAGCAGACAAGTGTAAGTTTTGGCCGAGGTTCTTGGTTTAATTTCTCCTTGATGGTACACTAAAGCGGAAAACAAATTTTTCGACTGATTTTTTTTTTTCAGTGAGCTGAGTTGTCCTCTGCTTTGCGATTGTTAATTCATTATGAGAACATGGTCACATTTTCATTTAAAAATGTCACCCGAAACCTCGGCTCTTGAATTACATTGTGGCGCCACGGACTTTTCTTTCGTATTTCAACCACATCGGCTAAGAAAATTTCTGAAAACTTGGATTGCTCAGTGTCTCAAGCTCCCTTGGAACACAGTTTAATTGCATCTCACCGATAATTGATTATGCCGGCCCCTGAAGCCGCCGACAGTATATATATGTGATGTTATAGTGACCTATCGCGGGAACTTGAGTGGTGGCGTCGGTGCAAGTATTTTCGTGCGTTTTCTGGCTCACACCAAGCGCCTTCTCTCAGCTAAAGTCGGAACTTTGGATGAATAATAAAGTGGTGCGAGTGAAACGGTATTTTTTTTATTGTGCCCCTTTGATCTTAGTCTCAGCGTTCCGCTGCATCTGTACTCCATCTAGTGGGTGCTGCTTGTATGGCGAAGTGCATACTTTCTTAGTAGAACTGTGTTTTTATTTTCTGCGCCTTATCTGTCTCGGTATTGTGTGTGACCGTGTGTATGCGTGTCTTTTACGTGCAGGTGTCGGTCTCGCGTGGCGCAAGCTTGGCCAAACGTCCAAGCCCACGGTTGAGATCAAGGTTGAGGGCGACGATTGGTCCATCAAGACTCACACCATGTTAAAGACGAGCGAGCTGAAGTTCACGCTCGGCAAGGAGTTCGACGAGGACCGCATGGACGGCTCCAGGGTCAAGGTAACACGGAAACTATTATATTTTGCGAGGCGCCTGTGTTCAGCTGGTATAGACATTTTTTTTACTGAAGGCTCTCTGTGCGCCATAGCTTTGAGCTGTTGACAATCGTGTCTCCCCAAAAATGCGCCGCCGAAGCTACGAGGTCGGCTTTTGTGCTCTAGTGCGATGGCCCAAATATATGAAGGGATCCTCCTCTCTGTTAAAAAGGCCAATAAAAGTTGCTTCTGCGTCGATATTTCGCCAGTACCTATACATACCTTCGTCATTTTCTTTCTTCGTTTGCTTCTCGCAGCTGGAGTTGGAACTTCGGATGACAAAGAGTGGTGCGACAAAGAGTGGTACTTAGCCGCCAGCTCTAAATTGTTAAAATTATGCAGTACGGATGCCCGTGTGGTCGGGATGGGTTTTACAGGCAAAAACGTGCGCACAATCCGTGCAACAGAAGCTGTAAGCGAACATGAGCGCAACGACCTAATTTCTCATGATTGTGTTTTTGTACTGAACTTCACTGACCTTAGCTTATGCGTTATTTACTTATGTAGAGTATCAACTGGCGGAGCTTCTTAAAATTTTTGCTGTTTGTGCCTTCATTGTAGGGAACACTATTCGAGATGTCGTGCCGAAGTACACATCTTTACATGTTTAAGAGAAAAAAAAGTTCATAGTGATACTCCGGCTGCTGTATTGCCATGATTGTAGCGTCTGCCACTTGCCAAACTATTGTGTTATTGTATTTTTTTTTTCTGCGTGTATGAGGAAACGTATGTTTGTCTGGCATCCCCGCGATTTTTGAAGCAGCCGTGACCGGCGATGTTGCGGGGGCTGTCTTCCTGGTCCATGGTATTTTTTGGCTTACCACATATGCCGTATGTAATCGCATGTTGGCACTACTTACTGTTATCACTGCCTCAAGTACGCCAATGCCTGCTTTAGTGTTGGCTATATATACTTGTCAGCACGCTGTGCGCTCCTAAACAGCATCGTTGTGTTAAAACCAATCGTAAAGCAATTTTATAATACATTCGAATGTGCACAACCCGAACGGTTCTCATTCAGAACTCGTACTGGCTTCAATATTTTCTTTCGCCGCTGTCGCGTGCACACACTTGGGCCGGAAGACTGCTCCAGCTCAGGTGGGCACACGGAAAAAAGGCTTACACGTCGCTCAGTCTGAGTCAGTCGCGTGTGTCAGTATTTCTGGACTTGGGCGCAAGTTTTTCAGCGGCTTCCTGGTTTCTGGCAGCGCTCGGCGCTATTTGTAGCGCTTCTTTAAACTACTGTGTCGTTCACGAGTTAAATGTGCCGTTGATGCTGCCGACGTTGTTAGTCACACTCCCTCGGTGCCTGTCTACGGAGACGTCAAAACCTCAATCGGCCCTCAGTGCCTCCTTCCTAGCTCATCTGCAATCGAATGAGTTTATGTGACGTGAGCCGTTTAGCCGCCGCGAGCTGAATTGATGGGATTTGCAGTTCTATTAGCTCAACAGTTCGATGCCCGCTACTGGCTGGAATGTTTACGTTAGCCAATCCGTAGCAGAGTTCGTGGCCCCCAGATACGACCCGTCAGCGCAAGGTTTTCAATCTGGGAGACGAATAATAAGCGAACGTTCCGCGTTCAGTGACGTTCAGTGAGGAGTCGGTGTAGTGTGTCTCACCCTGAACGTGCTCACCGGGGCAATGTCCGCAGTTTGGTGTTTAGACGAAATGAGATTTTGGAGCGCATTCAGGGGTGTGTGACCCGTACCTTTCTCTCGTGTGTTGCGGAATGAGTACAGTCACATCTATCTCGGTGCTGACGTTTCTATTTGCTCGTCCTCCTAGAAAAACATTTAGACGCATTGAATACGCGCAGATTTTGAATGGAATCGAATGAAATCGTTTTAAAATTATCGGTGAAATCTAGAACGAACCCTATGGATGTTTTATAGAGCTGAATATTTGAAGAACGGACTGGGCCATCTTCAGTATTTAGATATCGAAGTTCGCACCAAGAAATGCCTAGCAGTTAGATCTGCCGGGAATTCAGAGACGAAAATACTCTTGTCAGCTAACAACAAAAGTAATGTTCTGCTGTGTACGCGTGCTATCCATAAAAAGTTTCGTTTTTTTTTTTTTTTACAGAACTCTTATAAACAACGGTCCGGCTGCCGCCGCTGAACTTAAAGCTGATAATTAAGCGTTGGCAAAGCTTGTTAGTCATGTTGTTTACTATACGCCATCAAACAAATATATCAAGATTTCTCGTATCAGGTTGAAAACGATCACTCCGACAGCATTATTCAATTCGCTTTTCGAATACAGATGGCGTTTCGGAGTAACACCATTGCTCTAGGCAATCGCTCTTTTCGAATCGTCCTTTTCCTTAATATTTTTCGCCCCTAGTCATTTCGTCGCATCCACAGTTTTCCACTACAGCGTCTCATAGCCTGAGTTGATATGTGACGTTAGACTACCACAAACCAACTAACCGACCAGTCTAGACACCTTGTTGATGGAGGGCCTCGATTTTTTTTTTCGTACCTTCCTCGTTAACTTGCACCAATTGCCAGCAGGCATGACTGCGATGAAATAAGAAATCAACTTGTAGTGTTCTCCGAACTCATCACCAAATCTCAAACGAAAGTAGCAATGCAATCAGTGAGAACGTCAGCGTAGTTCAATGCGTGTCCCTCAAACTGCAGTTCGTGATGTCCTACAAGGAGTCTGGTCTCCCCTAGTGTGTGACCTAATGAATGCATTATGAAGTGTGCAAGAGGGTTCCACCTTTAACCCCCGAATGCAGAGATGTTACTTGGCTCACGACTTCAACTTAACTTGAGCAAGTCGGCGCGAAGCAAGCAGCGGACTTCAAAACGCCCAAGTCAGCCTTCGCGTTTCATAGATGCTCAGGCTGTCTTGCTTGGTCAAGTCAAGAACGAGCTTCAAAGCAGAAACACGCTGCTCGCCTGCTAACGAGGGTAATAATAAAGTTGTTCGCGTATGGCACGCATTACACCAAAAAAAAAAAAGACCCTACGTTTTAAAATAACTATAAAAACGAAGGGCCACAAGCATATTCTTGCCATTTTACGGCTAACGAGCGGCACGTGGTGCCTGCCACCACAGCGATGCGCAGTGTTGCTTCTGTAAAGCGTTCGTTGCCCGCTGGTTTTAGTGGCCACCCAAATGCAGTGCGTTTCTCCACGGTTGCTTGTTTGAAAGAGAAACAAGCATCGCGTTGGGTTCTTTCGTCGTTTTTTTTTTTTTTTTTCTCAATCGAACGCCGTGGCATGGATTTGTGCTGACACCTGGCTCACGGGGTGACGCGATTTTCACGGTATTTGCCTCTGTTCGCCTGTGTGCATGCCTGTAATGGGCTAGGTTGCAGTTATTATGCCTCATCTGTTTGGTCCCCTTCCGCTCAGTATCAAATTAACATGCTGGAAACAATCCAGAACAGAGCCACCCGTTACATTTCTAGAAACTATGACATCAATTCCAGTGTGACTCAGCTTAAACTCCATCATTCCCTCCAAGCATTAAATGTTCGTCGTCACGTGTCCTTGTTATGCCTATTTCATAAGTACGTCTACAGTAACAAAACATCGTCGTTGCACCTTCAACGCCCCGCTCTACACGTCACGCAGATTACATAACCATCTCAGCTTCACTCGCATTTTTGGAAACACGAACGCGTTCAACACATCCGCACTACCACAAGCCATCCGCATGTGGAATGATCTTCCCGACGATATCGCCTCTGATAGCAACCCCAACACGTTTCGGCAAAAAGTTCAGACGCATTTCCTTAATATTTCATCTTGACGTTCTTTTACTTCTTTTCCGAGGGTTTTTATGTTACGGAGTGTTCTTATATACTTCATCGCCATGTTTACGTATTGCTGACTTATTGCTTTGTTAATTTTTTTTTGTTATTACTAACCGACATTGTACCGTTTTTATTTTGAAATTTACATGCGATTTTTCACTGTAACCCCCCTTACTCAATGCCTTCTGGCCTGTAAGGTATTTTCAATAAATAAATAAATAAATAAATAAATTATGAAAAAAAACAAGTTCTGGGAACAAATGTGATTCGTATCCTTTTGTTGAGCTTGGTAAACAAGAGAAAAAGCAGGGGTCAGGACATTGCCCTCAGCAGAATTCTGTCTCGCGGGGTGCAGCAATGTATCGCTGCATGATGGAGACGCGGATAAAAAAACCCGTGATAGGGGCACCTCTTTTTTTGTGTGTGTAATTTTACGTAGCGTTGTGCTACAAGCGATGCCTTTCTGAGCGAGAAACAGTGCCCTAGACGGGACGAAATGATAGACGAGGCACACGGACACAGCACCGAATCATTTTTTTTTTTTTTACCGAAAGAGACGGAAAGTGTCGTCGTGTTATAGAAAAACAGAAATAGCCTTTGCGGTTAGGGAACCCTTCGGCGTTGTCGACACCGGGGCTATTAATACGCACGTGTGTGTAGTCGACACAACCTTTAACGCAAAGGAACTCAGCCACTTCATAACAGTCCGCCGGCTGCGAAAAGCGCACCAGCATCGCGTACAGGTGCTTTGCGATGAGTAGCGTAACTTTTCCGACTGCACGGCACACTGTCGACTACGGAATGCGGACGAAATTTCCGGTGACTGGTTGGAATGTGCCAGCGCTGTAAAACCTGATAGCCATCAGCAGCTGTAACACTGGATGCACGGGCTGTCTTCGGTTGTCCCCACTTTCACGGAGCGGCAACATAACGAGCAGCTGCCCCACAGCGTTCTTCATGAATCTGTACCTAGCGTGGAATTGTTGCTCGTCGTACAACTCCATCGGATTTCCTCGGTCACGTAAAGCGGTTCCAAGAATCTTCGGCAGGTAGTGCGCCTCAAAAAATGCTACGCGAAAATGCTACGCCTCAAAAATGCTACGGCGAGGCAAGCAAACTCAAAAGCGGCCACCTTTCACGCGACGTCCATTCGGGAGGTGGCCATGTTGGAATAACGCGTCAAGTCGCTTTC